ATGAAATGATCATATGGTTCTTTTCTTTCAGTTTATTTATATGATGGATTAATTACATTGATAGATTTTTGTATGTTGAACCAGACCTGCATCTCTGGGATAAAGCCTACTTGGTCATGATGGATAATTTTTTTGATGTGTTCTTGAATTTGGTTTGCTAGAATTTTATTGAGAATTTTTGCATTCATGCTCATGAGTAAGATTGTCTTTCTTGTTCTCATTTATGATTTTGTTAATTTGGATGTTTTCTCTCTGCCTTTTGATTAGTTTGGATAAGGGTTTGCCAATATTGTTAATTTTCTCAAAGAACCAGCTGTTTGTTTCATTGATTTTTTTGTATGGTTTTCTGTTTCTATTTTGTTGATTTCAGTCCTCAATTTGATTATTTTCTGTTTTCTCCTCCTCCTGGATGAGTCTGCTTCTTCTTTTTTTTTTTTTGTAGAGCTTTCAGGAATGCTGTTAGGTCACTGATGTGAGGTTTCTCTATTTTCTTCATGTGAGCAACTAGAGCTATGAATTTTCCTCTTAGCCCTGCTTTCATAGTGTCCCATTGGTTTGAATAAATTGTGCCTTCATTTTCATTGAATTCAAGGAGTGTTTTAATTTCTTTCTTTATTTCCTTCTTGACCCAGGGGTGGTTCAGTAGTTGACTGTTCAGTTTCCATGAGTTGGTAGGCTTCCTGGGAGTAGTACTGTTGTTGAATTCTAACTTTACTCTATGGTGATCTGATAAAACACAGTGGATTACTCCAATTTTTTTTGTATCTGTGGGTATTTGCATTGTCACCGAGAATGTGATCAATTTTAGAGAGTGCTGAGAAGGTCTATTCTTTTTTGTTTGGGTGGAATGTTCTATAAATGTCTGTTAAGTCCATTTGATTCATTACATCTGTTAGTTCTCTTATTTCTTTGTTAAGTTTCTGTCTGGTTGACTTGTCCATTGTTGAGAGAGGAGTGTTGAAATCTCTTACTACTAGTGTGTGGGGTTTGATGTGTGATTTAAGTTTTAGTAATGTTTCTTTTACATATGTGGGTGCTCTTGTATTAGGGGCATAGATATTTAGGATTGAGACTTCATCTTGATGAATTGTTCCTGTTATGAGTATAAAATGTCTTTCACCATCTCTTCTGATTGATTTTAGTTTGAAATCAATTTTGTTAGATATTAGGATAGCCACACCTACTTGTTTCTTAGGTCTATTTGATTTTAAAACTTTTCCCCCAACCCTTTACTCTGAGGTAGTGTCTGTCTTTGAGGTTGAGGTGTGTTTCTTGTAAACAGCAGAATGTTGGATCCTTTAATATCTATTCTCTTAGCCTGTGCCTTTTTATAGGTGAATTGAGTCCATTGATATTAAGCGATATTAATGACCAATGGTTGTTAGCTCTGCTTATTTTTTGCTAGTAGTGTTTGTGTGTTTCCCTTTTTTGGGTTATGCTGGTGGGGGGTTATCAGATGTCTGTGTTATTGTCGATGTAGTTGGCTTCCTTGGGTTGAGGTTTTCCTTCTAGTACTTTCTGTAAGACTGGATTTGTGGATATGTATTGTTTAAATCTGTTTTTATCATTGAATATCTTGTTTTCTCCTTCAATGGTGAATGAAAGCTTTGCTGGGTATAGTAGTCTGGGCTTGCATCCATAGTCTCTTAGTGTCTGCAGCACATCTATCCAAGACCTTCTGGATCATGGCTTCCATTGAGAAGTCAAGTGTAATTCTGATAGGTTTACCTTTATATGTTATTTGACTTTTTCCTTTGCAGCTGTTAATATTATTTCTTTATTCTGTATGTTTTGTGTTTTGATTATTATATTGCAAGGGGATTTTTTTTTTGATCCAGTGTATTTGGTGTTCTGTAAGCTTCTTGTACCTTCATAGGGATATCCTTCTTTAGGTTGGGAAAGTTTTCTTCTATAATTTTGTTGAATACATTTTCTGTGTCTTTGAGCTGAAGTTCTTCTCCTTCTTCTACTGCTATTATTCTCAGGTTTGGTCTTTTCATGGTGTCCCAGATTTCCTGAATGTTTTGTGTTAAGAATTTGTTATATTTAGTGTTTTCTTTGACCAATGCGTCTATTTCATCAATAGTATCTTTAGCTCCTGAGAGTCTTTCTTCTATCTCTTGTATTCTGTTGGTTATACTTGTCTCTGTAGTTTCTGTTTATTTACCCAGATTTTCCATTTCCAGGGTTCCTTCAGTTTGTATTTTCTTTATTACTTCAGTTTCAATCTTCAAGTCTTAAACAGTTTCCTTCACCTGTTTGATTGCTTTTTCTTAGTTTACTTGGGTTTCTTTGAGGGATTTATTAATTTCTTCCAGCTTTCTGTTTTTCAGTAAGAGAGCGGTGAACTGTGTCCCACCACCTGGCTATCTTAGCCCTGAAAGAATTACATAGAAACTGTATTCATTTAAACACTGCCTAGCCCTTAGATCTAGACTCTTATTGGCTAACTCTCACATCTTGATTCAACCCATTTTCATTAATGTGTATCGCCACTTGACTGTGGCTTACTGGCATGAGTCTAATCAGGGTCCATCTCGGGCAGGAGAATCATGGCATCTGCCACACTTCCCTTCTTCCCAGTATTCTGTTCTGTCTACTCTGCCCACTTAAGGGCTGCCCTATCAAATGGCCGAGGCAGTCTCTTTATTCAACCCATGAAAGAGACACACAAACAGAAGAACCTCCCACACAATTGTTGTTGGGGCCAATATCTATAGTATGGGGGGTGGTGGGACACAACTAGCTTAGCCCCGAAATAATTACACCGAAACTGTATTCATTTAAACACTGCCTGGCCCATTAGTTTTAGCCTCTTATTGGCTAACTCTTATGTCTTGATTCAACCCATTTCTAATAATCTGTTTAGAACCATGAAATCATGACTTAACGGGAAAGATTCAGCACGTCTGACTTTGGCGGCTCTCTCTGCCTGCCTTCTTCCTCCAAGAATTCTGTTCTGTCTACCCCACCCACCTAAGGGCTGCCCTATCAAAAAGCCAAGGCAGCTTCTTTATTCAACCAATGAAAACAACACAAATAGAACAAAACCTCCTACACCACTGTTTGTCTTCTCCTCCTTTTCTTTAAGGGAGTTTTTCACTTCCTCTTTAAAGGTCTCCATCATTTTTATGAAGTTATGTTTAAAGTCGTTTTCTTCTACATCTTCTGGGTTAGGATGATGAAGTCTTCCTGTTGTGTGTTCTCTGTGTTCTGGTGTTACCATGTTGCTTTTTAGGATGTTGAAGGAATTCTTGCTTTGGCACCTTCCCATCTTTTCCCCTAATGTCCACCAAGTATTGGTCTCCATGAGCTTGCAAGGAATGACGAATTGGAGGCGGACTGGATTGATGGCTAGCAAATCAACTCCCTGCTGACAGCTAGGAATGCCAAAGGGACCTGGGGAGGGGCCCCCCAGGCTTTTCTCCCATGTGGGAGTTTTAGGGAATAGGGGATCTAGGGCCACAGGGCCGCTGCTATCTCACCTCTAATGTCCACCAAGTATTGGTCTCCACGGAGCTTGCAGGAAGGGGTGAGTTGGGGGCGGGGTAGATTGATGGCTAGGAAGTCAGCTCCCTGCTGGTGGCTAGGAATCAATAAGTCTCTTTCTTAACCTTAAACTCATTAATTCAGCTAGACTGCTAGCTGGTGACTTTTAGGGATTCACCTGCCTGCATTTCCCAAGTACTAGGGGTTACAGGAGAGTTCCACTATATTTGCTTTTCTGGAATGCTAGGGATTCACACTCAGGTTCTCACACTTCCACAAGTACTTTACCCACTGAGCCATCTCCCTATCTTCTGGATGTTGAAATTTTCTCACCCCTATCAACATTATCCCTTGGCTGCTTGGAATCACAAGATCTCAATTCAAAGGCTAGTGTAGGATGCATATAAGTGATTTTTTTTTATCAAGGTCCCACACAGCATCAAAGCTGCATTAAAAGCCAGAGAAGCATTTGTACTTTGAGGTTTATTAGGTGAAGCAGTACTTCACCAAGACATGTGGTGCAGAATTTACCACAGAAGAAGTGGAAAAGGATCTGTTTTCTGGGCATGTACCCAGCAAATGTCTACTACAAGTCTTACTATCATTGCTTTAGGCATGTACCCAGCAAATGTCTACTACATGTCTTAGTATCATGGCATTAGGCATGTACCCAGCAAATGTTTGCTACATGTCTTAGTATCATGGCATTAAGCACATACTCAGCAAATGTCTGCTACATGTATTGATATCATGGAATTATACTTAAGCACAAGGAATTTCCATTTCACTGGTACAGAAGAACATTTTACACCATTAAGGTCTTTGCTGTGGTTATCTAACCGTAATTCTTTTGCAGTTCTCATCGAGAAAATTGAAAGGGATATGTGCCAGTTTTATGTCTCTTGCCTTCTCAAGTCAGCCCTAGCACACCTCCTCTGTGGCATTCCTTGCCACTGATCTCAGTTATCTTCTTATGTCTTTCACAGCCAGGTTAAGTGCTCCACTAAACATTCATTTTGTCTAGCATTTATTTGCATTGACTTATCTTCTGTGTGGGGTGACATCAATCAGGGTCCTTCATTTCAGTCTCCATTTCTTCTTTTGTAAAATGGGAATTCAATTACAGACTACTAAATAATGGTTATAGTAAAACAATGAAAGCATCTGAGTGTAATGCCTGATATTGGAAAACTTGCCAAAGTGATTGTATTATTTCACATCTGCTTTTCACCATGAACCACACATCTTACTTTTTATCTTATTGTGGACATACAGGGTTTGTAGTTTGTCAACACTGTCCCTGAGTAGAAACCTGACCATGACACTTGATTTTACATCTCAGTTCATTTATAGAAATCATTATGACTTTAAAATAAATGTGCTTCGAAAATACAAAGAAAAAACATTAACAGCATCCATCCTTTTCAAGTTATCACTAACAGAAAATCAAATCTCTCCACAGGCCTTCTGGGGTACACTAAAGAAGAAGTGGTGTAAGTTCCTATCTTATCATGAAACTGTTATCTCAAGGAAAATTAAGGCTCCACATTGTTCAGCCAGTACATCTTCCATCAGGGCTGCTCATATTTTTTATCCTGAAGTCTATCTCATCTCTAAAACCTGCCCGACTTCCAATTTACCAAAGGAAGCCTTTTATAGCTGCTTGGAATGCGCCAACAGATCTGTGTTTGATAAAATATAATTTCACACTGAATTTGAAAATGTTTCAGATGATTGGAAGCCCTCGGCTCAAAGATGGGGATCAAAATGTTACTATATTTTATGCCAACAAGTTGGGATATTACCCATGGTATACATCAAGAGGGGTCCCCATCAATGGGGGTCTTCCACAAAATACAAGCTTACAATTACATCTGAAAAAGGCTGCCCAGGATATTAACTATTACATCCCTGGTGAAAACTTCAGTGGACTTGCTGTTATAGACTGGGAATATTGGCGCCCACAGTGGGTCCGGAACTGGGATGCAAAGGATATCTACAGACAAAAGTCAAGAATACTTATTTCTGATATGAAAAAGAACATATCAGCTGCTGATATTGAAAATCTAGCCAAAGCAACCTTTGAGAAAAGTGCAAAAGCTTTCATGGAGGAAACTATCAAATTGGGAATCAGGAGTCGACCCAAAGGCCTTTGGGGTTATTATTTATATCCTGATTGCCACAATTATAATTTTTATGATGCAAACTATACTGGATCATGCCCAGAAGAGGAAGTTCTACGGAATGATGAACTATCTTGGCTCTGGAACAGCAGTACTTCTCTGTATCCTGCTATTAGTATCAAGAAATCCTTGAAAGACAGTGAACGTACTTTGCACTTCTCTCAATTTCGGGTATATGAATCAATGAGGATCTCTACCATGACATCACATGATTATGCTCTGCCTGTATTCACCTACACACGACTGGCCTACAGAGATGAACCTCTGCTCTTTCTTTCTAGGGTAAGACTTTCCTTGCCTCATGGTGGAGGATTTCAGCTGCATCTCTAAAAGATAAATTTTCTTATTAATTATGCCTAGCATCTTATTCTTTCTAGAGTGCTGGTCTGCTTAGACTCTTTCTTTATGCAACTAAATTTTGTTATCTTGTTTGTTAACACTGTTTTTAAAGGACACACTAAGGTGTGAAAGAGCTAACATATGAGGCTAGTAGCTACTGAATTCCCTGTGACTGGCTATTGTGGAATATTATTGAAACAGAATGTGCTTAGCAAGCTAAGAAATTAGAGTGCATTTTGAACATAGAATGAAAGACATCCCTGCTTCTGGCTCATCATTTTAAATACAAAGAGAGGAGAATTTGTTTTCTTTTAAATATGTAATACCAGCTTTTACTAAGTAAGCTATATTTATACCTGTAATGGTTTAAAATTATAGTTAATTTAAAAGCAATTTTAAAGTATGAAAAAATCATAAATTGGCCGAGCCATCTTAGACCTAGTTACCTCTCTGAAAACTGTTCATGGAAAACTGGTAGAGTGGTGTGAGCTTGTATATTCAATGGTAACCATGAGTAGCTTCACAACCTGGGTTAATGATCTGAGAGAACTGTCTTTGTACCTGATTATTTTCACCCAAGATATATATGTTGCCAGAGATCTCATCTGTTCCAGGATGAGTAACCTTTAAACTTGGCCAGCTTTCAGTCTGATTTTCTCTTCCTTTGTTGCTCCAGCCTCTTAAACAGAAACTTCCAAGACAAAGAGTGGATTGGGTACTAATGTATATATATTTTTTGTGTACCAAGAAAACTTGCAACCTGTTTCAGCCATTGTTTCATAAAATGCAATAGTATTTTAGTGTTTTACTTGCCGCCAAGGGTTTCAACAGAGGTGCTTCTTCTCATTCTTCAATTATAAATATCAGTGGACCAGATGGCTAAAAGGCAAGAGATTCTCTGAGTGCTTGACATCCTCAAGTGAATGTGTCGAAAGCACTCCAGTCTGGGCTTTACCATGCGTGCCCATTTGAAAGAGAAGAAGGAGCACAGCGGTGGGAGGTGTGGAAATTCTGTGGCTTTATCAATATCCAGAAGGTGAAAGCCTTCACAATGGGCTGAGACTCATCCTACCCATAAAAGTCATCTGTGAATACTGAATTGAGAATGGCAAGAGATCTTTGCTGGGAGGTTTGAAAAAGCTATCTAAAATTTTACAGGATAATACTGACTCTGGCAACGGAAAGTAAAACAGCATATATGTGTATATATGGTATATATATATATATATATATATATATGTATATATACACACACACGGTATATACACACATCTATCAGAAAGACTGTTTTAACTTTCTCTCTTTGTATATATATTTGTATATTTAGCTTCCTAATGTTCCTTTCTTCAGTGATGATTAATTTATTTTTGAAAATAAAAACCTAAAATTTAGAGGAACAATGCTCATCTAGAAAAGCAAACAGTGTGTTGGTTCATTCTGTGCACTGCACATGGCTTGGGTCACCTTTGTTTTTATAACAATAGTTCAGAAGTGCTACTCTTTCCTCTCAGGAAAGTAGCACCAGCACTTGGGACTCTTCTCATTCTGGGAGGGAAGCTTTGTGACTGAAAACATCAGCATACACACCACTGCACTCAATCTACCACAAAAATCTACTCACAATTTAAAAAATGTGATGTTCGTCTACTTCAAATTCTGAATGAATATGAGGGTCTTCCATTTCTTTCTCAAATATGTCTACAGTTTAGAATGCATGCATGTATACAGTTGGAGATGGTAGCAAACCTCTTACCCTTCCCAGAACCCAGTGTCTCAGTTCTTAACACAGAAACAGGGGATGAAGACACTACTGCTACCCCACTGATCTAACAAAAAGTATGATAAAAACCAAATGAGAAAAGGTGTGTGAAAATTTGAATCCCTTTAGAAATACATGTGGAGTAGCTGTCATGTTTCAAAGCCTTGAAGCGCTTAGCCATGGACTCCCTAAGAATCCCAGGCAGCAGCCATAGCTTGGGGGAAATAATACAGAGGCAGTACCATCTCATTCCACCAGGAAGATGGCTAGTACCACCAACATGTAAATTCAATCTAGACATAATGTGATGTTATGCTTTATAAAAACAATGAAAAGTGTTTCTGTGGGTGAAGATTTAAATGTTTCTCTGTGAGTAATTAGTTTCTCTGGCAACATACAAGGTAAGTTCTTTAGTGACTGTTTTTCCATTATGTCTCCCACTAGTAGATTATTTTCTAACATAAATTCTGGTAAGCACCAGGGACCCAAAACCAACTATGGAGGAAGACTCTTTTAGGTATCCTTTCCTCTACTTCCCCCCTTACATACATAAAATGTAATCTGATTATATCCACCTTCCACGTTGTCCCTCAACTCTCCCTGATGGTCTCTTCCATACTTATCCCTTCCATTTCAAGTCCCGCCCCCCCCTTTTTAAGACAAGTTAGTGGTACCTGGTTTTACATGGCTATCTCCTGAAGCATGAGCAACTTACTAGTGGTCACACTCTCCAAGAAAAAAAGATGTTCTTCGTATCTAAAAACCACTAACTGTCAACAGCTCCTAAGCTAGGAGTGGAACCACATGAGCTCCCTGGCCCCAATCAGCCTGGAATTTTAACTAGTTTGATCTTATGCAGGAAACCATAGCTGTTGTGAGTTCACACATTCAATAAATACACCATGTAGAGGAGGCAGCATTTCCACCCATTCCTTCTCACCTATCAGCTCTTGCATTCTTTCTGTCCCCAGTATCTTGATGCTACCTGAATGTTCGAATGATAGAGGGTGTGGAGATCTGACATAATGTCCCAATTAGAGCTGAGCACTCGTAGACTCTTATTCTCAGCACTTTAAACAGTTATGAGTTTGTCTAATCCACTGTTCACTGCAAAAACAAACTACTATGACCAAAGTTATGAGTAGCACATATTTGTGGATATAATAAATACAAGTGAAAAAAATAAAAGTTTGACAATATGATCACTTAGCAAATTGCAGTGGTTGTTTCTCTCGAGGACCTTTAACCTTCTCCGTCACAGATCTTTGATTAGGTTTACATTACTATACCTGATTTCCCTCTTGTTGAGTAGGCTACAAATCCAAGCACACACACACACAAAAAATGTCACAACCTTCTAACAGTTGTGACATTATTGTACCATTGGGCACATCTTGCCAGGGTAGTCAGTATTGTAGCAATGTCACTCAGTACTGAGATGGGTAAGACCATTGATATTTTTTTCTTCTCCAGTAGCCTGCATGCCATCTTGTCACTAAGAAAGTTAGCTAGCATGGATGGAGGAAGTTTTCTGATTAATTCCAGATTGGTTTTTTTTCTTTGTCCAGCAAACAAAGTACTCATTAACTTCTGAAACACTGATTTGAATTTGAGAATCATGGGCAAAAGCAGAGGCTTTGCTACAGCCGCTTTGTTCCTTTGCTTCTATGTTCATGTGACGCCATGCTTGAGGCTTCAACTCTTAGCTGGTCCCTGTACACTCCCAGAGGTGTCCTCTCAATGGCTTCCTTAGTGCCTTAATTTTTCTGGTCCTCAGATCACATCTGGTCTGTGATTCAATTACCACCTTGAACTCTGCCAGATGACAGTGAACTAAAAAGACGCTAACATTTTTTTTTTTAAAAACAATATTGCCCCTTTGTTTTTTGTCAAGGTGCTCTTGAAGACTAGTTATGTCTTTTATCTATCCCAATAAATGCCCTTTCATAATGATACTAAAGGAATGACATACTTAAAATAAACTAATATAACCTTAGATGGTATGGCTGTCATGACATAAATCTGTAGCTTCCATATTTAGTGAATATAAATCAATGACATAAACACAAGATATAAATGCTGTGTCCCATTCCTCCTTTGATAACACCACTTTAATCCTAAGCAGGCTCTTGGAGACTTCCTTATGACCACACACTGTGATTGTCTTCTTGCTGGTCTCAAGGTTCTTTCAAAGTCAGTGGTCTGAGTTTTTCTTCCTTATGCGTTTGAGTCAACAGTTGTATATCCTGCAGTCTGAAATCTGAGCACTGCATAGATAATTCTGCTTCTAATCACCAGCCTGTTGACAATTTTCAAAATCCTCTTAAGTACATCATCTCCTTTGGGCCCCAAAGAACCCCCTGCCACTCTTTTTGTTTTGTGGGCTGTCTGATATTATGGTCTTGGAGAACAGAAATGGATATGAACCAGAGAGGTAAGTCAATTCAAACCTAAGTCTCTCTGTACATTTAAAATGTCTCCAGAAAAATGTTCTTAAAAGTCTGTTTTAAGATAGACATTGTAAAATTGTTAATTTGAATGATGGACTATAGACGTGTCAGGAGAAGATAAATTCCTCAGGTATTGATATGATAAAGTAGGCAAAATAAAGATAGTTTGATTTTTTTTTTTTTACTTGTTTTTTCCTCCAACCCACCATTTTCTATTACTTAACTTACGGGAATTTATCTTTGGAGTAAAAGGTAAGTGTTTAGCAACTTTCATTAGAGGGAGAATGTATTATAATTTAATAAGCTAGGAAACCAGCAGTATGTGCCTAAGTCTTATTTCCCCCTATGTTCCCTTGGTCCACAGTCATCTCTGGCACTAAGGTAATCTTTGAATGATAAAACGTCAGTTTTTACTTCTGAAACCCCCATTTCATTTATTTTAGCCATATTGGGAGAAATCCTTGTGGATTTGTCACTGCTTAGATGAATCATACATAGATAAAACCCATTATATCCAGTACTTAGAAATTAAATATAGAGCGTTTCAGGGGCCAAATATAAAGAATGGACAAAGTCAGAGCCTGGAGATACTAAGCGCTGTACCCTTGCCTGGTTCTGAGTTCAAAAGGACACAAGGTTGTAGTAGGAGCTGCAGGCTGTGTTCCGCCGCCTGGCTCCTGGCCACCGGCTAGCTTTATACCCGAAATAACAACACACAAACTGTATTCATATAAACACTGCTTGGCCCATTTCTATTAGTGTTTGTAGCACCACGAGGTGCGCTTACCAGGAAGAATCTAGCCTACATCCATCCTGGGTTGGAGCTTCATTGCGTCTGCCTCAGAGAGGAGAGCTATGGAATCTGAGCTCACTTCCTCTTCCTCCCAGCATTCTGTTCTGCCTACTCCACCCACCTAAGGGATGGCCTATCAAATGGGCCAAGGCAGTTTGTTTATTAACCAATGACCTCCCTCCATCACAAGGTCACCTGAGGGACTGTACTTGTGAAGCTCCGCAGAGGTCAGAGGTCAGAGGTCAGTAGTAGATTAGAGCTAAAAGGCTTGCCTCAGAAGAAGGAAATTCTTTGGGTTCTGTTTATGTATTTATACATATGGTTAGCTTCTGAGCAAATATCACCAGTCAATTTCAAATAAACAAACTTTTGGTGGCTATTTATATACTAATTGTTTAAAAAGTAATATCCTGCCTATTAAGATGTAGTATTTTTTAAATACACACTTTGTTTATCCTTCTCTAATACATTACATCCCTATATCAATTTTGCCTCTCTCCTCTTCTCCCAGTTCCTTCCTTCAACCTCCCATCTCTCCTAGAGCCACTCCTCCTCCTTTCCCTTCAGAAAAGAGCAGACCTCCCAGGGAAATCAACCAATAAGACTAGGTACCTTCCCTCATACTAAGGCTGGATGAAGCAACCCAGTAGGAGAAAAGGATCCCAAAAGGAGGCAAAAGAATCAGAGACAGGCCCTCTCCCACTTTTTTTTTTTGTTTTACAAGAAGACCAAGCTACACAATCATAACATATATGGAGAGGGTCTAGGTCAGACCCGTGCATGCTCCCTGGTTGTTGATTCAGTCCCTGTGAGCTCTCATGAGTGTTGTGTAGTTGATTCTGTAGATTTTCTTGGGTAGTATGTGCTTTTAATCTTAGAATTTAGAGGCAAAGGCGGGAGGATCTCTATGAGTTTGAGTTTAGCCTGATCTATATGGTAGTTCTGGAGCAGTGCAGGTTACTCAGTGAGACTCTGCCTAAACACACACACACACACACACACACACACACGCACACACACAAGCGCACACACACATGCATGTACACATGCAAGTACACTGTTGTATATGATCAGAGAATGTGGTTCTGAGCATCAGTCCATTTCACATGTATGTCACTCAGGGATGATATCTAGGATGTATTTGGGCTCAGCCTGAAATCTTAATTCCTGGTGAGTGGATACATATGTCTTCCAATGACTAATTAACTTTGTTCTCTCCCATCTAGCAAGATCTAATAAGTACCATAGGAGAAAGCGCCGCGCTAGGAGCTGCAGGCTTTGTCATTTGGGGAGACATGAATTTAACTGCATCTATGGTAAGTCAGTACCTCCAGGGTATACTGTTCCGCTTTCCTGTAGAGATCACCCCAATCAAAACTCTCAGGATTCCCACAGCAAGCCAGATTTAGGGTAAAAGCTGAAAATCAGCACTTAGTACTTAGATAAAAATAATAAAAAGACAGTAATCATAACACTGATATTTGTTTGATGTTTATCATGTATTAAGACAGGTTTTCTGTGTGTTTTGGATCTGCTGACTTACTGGCCATGTCGGCTAATGACTATTCTCTTCGACTATAGACAAGGAGATAAGGTGGGGGGGGGGCGGGAATCAAGGAAGGCATTAGGTGTTCAGGCTACTTTGTAGTAGAACTGTTATTAATGACCACAGATCTCTGAGACTGGATCCCTTGCCTTGACCTACTACATGAAATAGTGCATCTTACCTGGGAGAGCTAGAAAAAAAGATGCTAACTTTTAAACCTTCCTATTGAAAGTATTTTCCCTTGTAGAGTAGCCAGCTGGAAATTGATAGCCTTTAAAACAAGATTAAGATATATTTTTAAGTTTTTTTCCCAGCTGAAACAGCATTTATTTGAAGAACTCTTCAGACTCCCCTCAAGCCACATTAATTGCAGTCTCTTATTTATCTGCAGTTGTTCTTCATTTCACTTGTCTGAAGCATTACTATAATACGTTTAACCCAGACTTGTCAAGATTGTATCCTTTAAATCTGGGTTACATTGAAAAAAATAAGTCTATGTTAATTTTATTTTTAGAACTTTACTGGCTCAATTTGTTACTACTGAGACAATGTTCATGAAAGTATTTGTAACCATGCTCACTGTATTAGTCAGGATTCTCTAGACTCTCTAGAGTCTAGAGGGAGAGAACCTGTAGAATGAATATATATCCAATAGTCCGAATCTATTTATATTTACATACATAAAGGGGATTTATTAGAATGGCTTGTAGGCTGTGCTCTAGCTAGTCCACCAATGACTGTCTACCAACAGAAAGTTCAAGGAAACCCTGACAACTCTTAGGACTGAAGAGGGAGGGGGAGAGGGAGTGGAGGGAGTGGGAGGGAAGTGGGAGGAGGGGAGGAGGTGGAAAGTTTTAATAAATAAATAAATTAATTAAAAAAAGAATTCAGGAGTTATTCAGTCCATGTAGCTGGATGTCTCAGCTTGTCTTCAGTATATGCCTGAATCCTGAAGGAGTAGGCTCTAATTCGTGTGAAGGGGTGGGCTTTCCAGAGCAAACAGGCAAAGCTTGGTTTCATTTTCCATGTCCTTTCTCTAGGCTGCCCGAAAGGTGTGGTCCCGATTAAAGGTGGATCTTCCCACCTCAAAGATCCAGATTAGAAGTGGTTCTTCCCACTTCAAAAGATTTAATTAAGAAAACAAAATCCCCCACAGTTGTGTGCCCAGTCATTTGAGTTTTGGCTAATTGCTGACACACAGAAGAGTTTCACAAGAGCCCGGGAAGGAGTATCAGAGAGGTTTATTTATTTAGGGATAAACTCACAGAAAGAGTAGCGATCCACAGTCCTCTGTGTGTGCTGGGAACTGGAACTGAATCCAGCAGCCAAGAGGCCCGTGCATGCTTTTCACCTGCATTTATAACGCATGAGACCACGTCCAAAGTGAGCCGGTATCTTAAAGGCTATTGGCTGAAGGAGTTCCCACAGCAGTTAATTCCAGATGTAGCCAAGTTGATATTGAAGAATAGCTATCACACACATCTATGAGCATATTCAGAGAGCCACAGGTTTAGCTGCTGACTCACGAGGAAGTGTTTCATCAGGAAATAGTATACACAACCTCGGTGACTTCTATTTGGAACACGTACTAGAAAACACACACAAATGACCCAGTGTTCCCAGCTTTCCTGTACCTGGTTGAGTGTAGGAGTAGAACCTGCAACAGGTTATGTTTAAGTATAAGTAACCAAGAAGTCCAGAATGCTCTAGGGTCAACAGTAAGTCTGAACTTGATGACTCGGATTTTCTTCTTCTTTTTTTTTCCCCACTGCTTTTTTTTTATTTTTCCATTCAAAAATTTCCATTTCTTCCCCTCCTCCCATACCCTTCCCGCTCCCCCACTCACCCACCTCCCTCCCCATCCAGTCTAAAGAGATGGCAGGGTACCCTGCCCTGTGGGAAGCCCGAGGCCCTCCCCACACCATCCAGGCCTAGGAAGGTGTGCATCCAAATAGACTAGGGTCCCAAAAAAGCCAGTACATGCAGTAGAAACAAGTCCCGGTGCCTTTATCAATGGCTTCTCAGTCAGCCCCCATTGTCAGCCACATTCAGAGAGTCCGGTTTGATCACATGATCGTTCAGTCCCAGACCAGCTGGATTTGGTGAGCTCCCATTAGATCAGGCACACTGTCTCAGTGGGTGGACCAACCCCTCGCGGTTGACTTCCTTGCTCATCTTCTCCCTCCTTCTGCTCTTCAACTGGACCTTGGGAGCTCAGTCCAGTGTTCTGATGTGGGTCTCTGTCTCTATCTCTATCTATCGCTGGACGAAGGTTCTATGGTGGTATTTGAGATATTCATCAGTGTGACTATGGGACAAGGCCAGTTCAGACACCCTCTCCTCTGCTGTCCAAGGACCTAGCAGGGGAACTCAACCAGAAAGAACAACTCAGCCCTGAAAGGCAGCCCGGCAGCAGCTCTGGTGTGGATTCTGCTTTGTTTGTGTTTCTTTCTTTCTCACACTGCTCATTCATTGCCTTGCGAGCTAGAAGGAAAAGGAAAAGATGCATGAATTGAAGAAAAGCAAGAACCTCCATGTTGACTCCGGCTGGTTTGCTGACTCAGTTACCCTGCCTTACTGTTACATCTCCTGCCTCTAGGGCCTTTCTCACTTCTGAGATGAGACCTTTGGGCTATAGTAGAGTCCAAGAGTTTACCCACTAGGACAAAGCCATCTAGTTTTATTATTATTATTATTTATTTATTTTATTTTTCTAGACAGGGTTTCTCCGTAGCTTTTTTGTTCCTGTCCTGGAACTAGCTTTTGTAGACCAGGCTGGACTCGAACTCACAGAGATCCACCTGCCTCTGAGTCCCGAGTGCTGGGATTAAAGGCGTGCGCCACCACCGCCTGGCAGCCATCTAGTTTTAGCCCAGTCTAAAGAGCTGCCTTCTGGGTCGAAAATATCTGATCGAATTGTTTTCATGCTTTCTCAGGAGAACTGTACGAAGGTCAACCGCTTTGTGAATTCGGATTTTGGGAAATACATAATCAATGTGACCAGAGCAGCTGAGGTATGCAGTCATCACCTTTGCAAGAATAATGGGAGGTGCATACGGAAGACATGGAAAGCACCTCATTACCTCCACTTGAACCCTGACAGTTATCGCATAGAAGCCTCTGAGGACGGAGAGTTCATAGTGAAGGGAAGAGCATCAGAGGCGGACCTAGCTGGGATGGCAGAGAACTTCCTGTGCCACTGTTATCAGGGATATGAAGGGGCTGATTGTAGAGAAACGAAAGAACCTGATAGCGGCTCTGGGGTCTCCCCTTTCTCTATCTCAGTAATAACACTGTGTCTGCTAGTTCTAGCAGGTTATCAAAGCATTCGGCTTTGACATAATTGAGTTCAAATGAAATTGTGTCCTCAAGTAGAGTGTTAGGGAACAGATGAATTCCACAGTTGTTCTCTTAAGGGTTCCTCTGAGAGGTGTTGTAAGTCAACATATGTGTCGCAGCATAAATAGCCACATATTACTTTATTTGCTACACCTCGGTTAAAAACCAGATCTAAGAGATCAAAGTCATGCACATTTTTTTCTAACTTGAAGATTTAAATTGTATTTCAATCAGATTTCATTCTTCTTCTAAATGTACATACAGGATGATACACATGAATATTAAGCTTATTGATTTCAAGGAAATTTTCTAGATAGCAATTTATTTCAGGATCGACTACTAAGTAGTCAACGTGATTCAACAGATGGGGTCACCTCCATCATGACCTGGTTAAGTAGGTCATCAGAGAAGACTAAATTCAGGGTTTCTGTGCCAGCCAGCTTCTCCTGTACCTGCTTCCCTGCTGAACTCATGGAAGACCTGAGGTGTGTTTCAACTGTTCCCAATTCACAACAGAGGCCTCTCTCAACTATCATCTTCCTTCACAGTCTGTATATTGCAGAAAGGTTGTCCAGGCTGAGAGTGTGCTGGATCTAAAAGCTCAAGCCATGTTGATAAAATGCAGCTGGTGACTTTTGAAAGTGAAATTGTTCTGGTGGTAGAGATTTAATAAACGACACTTGAAACGTGCTGTTGGAGAGAACGTCTATAAGAAAAACTAGCTACTTTTGTCTCCCCTTGCTCCCCATATGAATTTGGAGTAGTAGATTTGGATTTAGAATCACTTTAAACCTGATTTGAATTATGTTTTTACTATTTCTGTGGTGGTATAAATCTTAGCAAGTTTTTTTTTGTATTCCCCTTTATCATCTGAAATTTGATAATATAATTTTCACCTTAGCAAATTATTCTTGTGATTAAATACAACAGCCTACTTTGCATTCTTAGATTTTTGGTACGTGCAGCTGCCCAGGATAATCTCGTGCTCACCAAAACAATAGAAAAGATAATGATAAAAGAGTCAAGCTATTTCCTTTTGTAGCCAGGGACCACTTATAACCACTTATTCACTGTGATGTGGTCTTGAGAGACACTCTCAGGGGACTTGATTTTCTTATCATAATGATAATTTAACAGGAAGAGAAATGCAAGAAAGATACGATGTTGATAAAGAAGGAATGAAAGGTTGGGCAATGGAGGCACAGTACTGGCAGAGGCAGGTGGGTCTCTGTGAGTTCGAGGCTAGCTTGGTCTATAGAGTGAATTCTAGAAAGCCAGAGATATACAGAGAAACCTTATCTCCAAAAACCAAAAAATAATTAAAAAAAAGATTGAAATTTGATGTCTCTCTCTTAGGTGGTGCACATCTTTAATCCTGGGGAGGCAGAAGCAAGCAGATTTCTGTGAGTCTGAGGCTAGTGTGGTCTTCTAGATCTAGTTCCAGAACAGCCAGGGCTACACAGGAAAATCCAGCCTCAAAAACCAAAACTAAGTAAACAAACAAAAACAAAAAGTTCAACTCAGGATCCTTGCTTGTCAGAGATTAAGGCACTGAGAAAGTTAATTCTGAAATGTCTGATACAAAGTTTTCATAATACTGTGAATGAGAAGTATGATTACATAATAGATTATTTAAAAATTAATCAAAGATAATGTGATTAGCAATATAGAACATTTACAAAATTGAAAGGATAACCACAGAAATTACTAATACACTATACACTGGTAACTTTTGTTGTAGTTTTTCCTAATATTTCTTGTAAAATGACTTTTATATTGTTGTAATCATAATATATACATATTTTATAAACTGTGTGTTCCAATTAACAATGTGAGTGGTTTTTTATAATCATTTCATAATTTTCATGCACATTATTTAAAAAGTCTTTTCCAGGAAAAGGAGGGAAGGTAAACTAAGCAAGTGATTTAACACTTATTTTTATTTTGAGTTAGAGTCTAAGTTAGGTAGTCTGGCCTGAACTTTGTTAAGTAGCTGTGAACTGAAGTGTTCAAAAGAAGCCACACCCATGTCAAAGATTTTTACAAGGCTAGCTGACTAATTAGAACTTGTGAGACTGTAAGGAGCTGGAACGTGGCAGGCCAGGAACTAAAACATATCAGACTATTTTTAGCACCCTTAGTAGTCATTCATTGACTACTTAAATTTTGTGACAATAAGATAAATATTTTTGGAATGTATGTATGTTGCAGTATGGTGATGCAACCCACCTAAGACAGAGAAGTCCTGAGGCCTTGAACCTTTTCTTCTGAAGCTCAAATGAGCTATCTTTTCATCTGATTTCAGCAGAAAATACAAGACATATAAATAATTACTCAATTATTTATCATTTTGCCAACTTAAACAGAAATTTAACTTACAATACTATTCTGTTACAAGGAGAGCCCCTTTGTTCTTTCCTGACACCCGACTAGCTTAGCCCCCAAAATAACCACACAGAAACTGTATTCATTAAAACACTGCTTGGCCATTAGCTTTAACTTCTTATTGGCTAACTCTTACATATTAGTTTAACCCATCTCCATTAATCTGTGTATCGCCATGTGCCAGTGCTTTATGGGAAACTCTAACTGGCGTCCATCTCGGGCAGGGGGGATCCATGGCTTCTCTCACTCTGCCCTTCTTCCTAGCATTCAGTTTTGTCTTCTCCACCTACCTAAGTTCTGCCCTATCAGGCCCAAACACTTCTTTTATTCATTAACCAATGAAAGCAACATATCAACAGAAGAACCTCCTACACCACTATTCTGTGATCATGAACCCTGAAATAATTATTTTTAACTTAAATACAAAAGAACTATTAAGTCAACTGATTGATCAACTAGCAATGCTCATATTTAGGAAATGTTAGAGAAACATCAATTCCCAAGTCTTTTAAAAAAAAGGACCTGTACAATGTGAATCTGGAGCATCTGATAACACAAAGAAAGGATATAATCCATGATCACTAGGAGAGCATTAGAAGCAGTCAGGGACCAACTTAAAGTTCCTCCCATTAAAATTTATTGCTAATCAAAATAAACAACAACAGACACAGAGACACAAGCAAAAAAGCAATCTCTTGCTGTCAAAGTCATCTTTGGCAGTCAGTAAAGAAACAGCAGTTATGTGTTGAAATAAATGGAATATATTTGTGTCAATGTAGTCAAAACAATGCCATTAAGTAGGTGGATATTTCTGTCCCACCAGTCTGTTCCCCCAAAAATGCATGGATATTTCTTATTAATTTTTTAAAGTTAATTTTTGAAAGTTCAGCCAATAGCTTAGGCTTATTTCCAGTTAGCTCTTGTAACTTAAATAACCCATTTCTATTCATCGATGTGTTGCTATGTGACTTGTGGATTTTAGTTCTTTCCTTGAATGTCTGTTCCTTCTTGTCCCCTGGTAACTCAGGTCCCCTTCTTCCCAGAGTTCGCTCTGTCTGGCTCTCCTGACTATACCTTCTGCCTAGCTAATGGCAGTTTAGCTTTTTGCTAAATCAACCAGAAGATGTCTTGGGAAAGACACATCTTTACAGAGCACAAACAGATTATTCCAGAATACCATTAAAACAAAAATCCCTTTCTTGGCTACATTTGAAGGATGTTAAGGGATCAACTTAATACTCTGAAAACCAGTAATAATGAGCAAGAATCAGCCACTTATCCTGCATTTACTATGTGATTATACTTAGGGGTAACCAACTAGTGGAGGTAAATAAATGAAGAAGGTATGATAAATTAGGATATAAACATTTGACGTCGCTGATTTTATAGTCATTATCCTCCCCCCTTTGTTTTTCAAGAAAGAGTTTCTCTGTGTAACAGTCCTAGCTGTCTTAGTACTCACTCTGTACACCAGGATGATAGTCACTATTTTTATGTTAGTTATTTAGTGGGTGGAAGCATTGATAGTCAGTGGCTGCAAATGTCCACAAAGGAAGTTCACCAAAACATTTTACATCATTTAATTGAAGTGGGGGAACGACAACCAAGAGTAATCCTTCCCATATAAAATTTCATCAGGCTTCAATTTCTAGCTTGGAAACTAGTGCCTAAACACTTATCTCATTGGAATGCCAATTCTATCAAGGAAAAAGAGCCAGGGAGGCCACTGTGAAACCACATATACAGTATATAAAGTAATGTGTACTTTCATAGATTCCTGAATTTTAAAAATTATCTTAAGCCTTGAAAAGAAGCTCTGTTATAACATTAAAATTACAAATGTGAAGCATAAAGGTTTAATAATTGGATATTTAAATATTGGTGGATATTAGTATTATTTGGTTAATGTGCCCAAGAATTAAATATATTATGATATAGCTGCCTTTGTCTTTGCTGGTATGAAGAACTTGAACAAATTTGAATGTCATCAAAACCAATAGCTAAACTGGACATTTCACTCTCTGAGGCCCAGGGGCATTTCTTGCTTGCTTCTAGTATGACTTTCTGAGTCTGAAATAAGTCATTTTGTTTTCTGAGGCAAGAATGTAAAAGCTTGTAGGTTGTCATCAGGACTTACTGCCCTCTGCCACACTAAACTGCCTAGTGTCATGATTACCTTGTTGTAACAGCCTAACCAGACAAGCAGTGACCAGATATTTGGCTACGCATTGTAACTGCGTCTTTGAAAGTTCTTCTGTAAGAGAATGAAATTTCAGTGAGTAGATGAAAGGATATTGCTTAGAGCAACGCGATGTCCTCTCCTTCCATGCATTGAAGGTCTGAAAGGGCCAGTGTATAAAAGTCTAAAATATTAGAACCCAAAGGCAGAGGAAGGGAGAGTCTAGCTCTATCCTACCTCTGGAACACTGATGCACCCCTGCCTTGAGACTGGAACCCAGACTGGAACCATATGCACCCTCAACTCTCCTGGGACTTTAGTTTGCTTACTACCTCTTGGGGTGTTTCAGTCTCTGTAATGAAACCAATCCATTGTAACAGTGAGCCTAAGTTTCTGCCTCCACAACGACCCTATATATACGTATGAATCTATGCA